TTGCCTGGTAAATTATTTTTGCTTGAGAAGTTCTTTAGATTTAGGCTTGACCTGACTAAAGACATAGATGAGAACCTAGATGTGTTTAACAAGCTTATTCAGAACATTAAGCAAGCCGGTGATAAACACATAGATGACTACACACCCATAGTGTTGCTTAATGCCATCCCTGACTCTTACAATGACGTCAAATCTGCCATAAAGTATGGTAGAGACGATATCACGCTAGATATAGTCGTTAATGGATTAAGGAGTAAGGAGCTAGACCTTAGACACTCGAGGGGTAGTAACAGTCAGTCTAGGGACTCAGGTGAAGCGTTGTTTGTGAGGGGTAGGTCTAAAAGTAGATCTAGAAACCCTAAGAAAGGCAACAATGATAAGAACAAAAACAATGACCCGAGGAAGAAGAGAGGTAAGTCTAAGAAGAGAGTGTGCTATAATTGTGGTAATTCTAGTCACTTCATTAAGGATTGTCCCCATCCTAAGAAGTCTGAACATGCTAATGTGGTAGATGATAATAACTTGCATGAAGAAGTTTTTATGGTCTGTGATTTTGCAAATTCTGTGTTGAGTAACATGACTGAAAATGAGTGGTTAATTGACTCGGGTTGTACTTATCATATGACACCTTTTAGATCTCTGTTTGCTTCTTATGATTCTTGCAATGATGGTTTTGTGTCTCTTGCTGATAATAAGAAATGCAAAATACATGGGGTGAGTGATGTATGCTTGAAGTTTGATAATGGGACTGTGTTTACTATGAAAAATGTGAGGCATGTCCCTGATTTGCGTCATAACTTGTTTTCTGTCGCTGCTTTTGAGGGTAGTGGGCTTGAGGGTAAATGGGGAAATGGGTGCATGAAAGTTTTGAAAAAGTCTCTTGTTTTGTTCAAAGCTAAGAAGGTGAATAACTTGTATGTATGCCATGCTCAGCCTTTCTGTGATTCTGCTCATGTTGTTAGTTCTGATAAAACTGCTTTATGGCATAATAGATTAGGACACATGAGTAATAAGGGTCTAGAGATTTTGCATAAATCTGGTTGTTTTGTTAAGGATTCTGTGTCCTCCACCCCTTTCTGTGAATCTTGTGTGTTAGGCAAGCAGCATAAGGTTACATCCCCCCCCTATCCTAATCGCACTAAGTGTACCTCTGTGTTAGAGTATGTTCATGCTGATGTGTGGGGTCCTGCTAGTGTCTCTACCCACGAGGGTAAGAGATATTTTCTGTCCATTATCGATGATTTTTCTAGGAAGGTGTGGGTCCGTCTTCTTGAGCATAAGTCCGATGTCTTTGTGAAATTTAGGGAGTGGAAAACCCTTGTAGAAAATAAAACCGGTAAGAAGGTCAAAACCTTTAGGACCGATAATGGATTAGAGTTTTGCAATAAGGATATGGACCAACTCTGTGTTGATTGTGGATTAGAAGGCACAAAACTGTGCCCTATACTCCCCAACAAAATGGGATAGCCGAGAGAATGAATAGGACTGTTCTAGATTAGGTTATGAGTATGCTTGCTACCTCCGGTTTGTCTAAAAAGTTTTGGGGTGAAGCGGTCAATACTGTTGTCTACTTGATTAACCAGTCTCCTTTTGTTCCCTTGGGTGGGAAATGCCCTGAATCTGTTTTTTCAAACAAATCCCTTGATTTGTCTAATCTTAGAGTGTTTGGGTGTGCCGCGTATGTGCACCAACAAGGTGACAATTTGGATCCTAGGTCTAAGAAAGGAGTCTTCTTAGGTCATCCTGAGGGTGTGAAGGGGTACAGGGTTTGGGATAGAAACCAGGTAGGTTTCAAGGTTGTGGTAAGTAGAAACGTTGTTTTCAATGAATCCGAGTTTCCTTGTCTAGCTAAGTCAGTTCCTGATTCTGAGTCTGGCCCTAGTAGTACTCCCGTTGAGGTGGAGTCCATACCACATGCTGCTAGTCCTTTGTTTGCTAATCATGATTCTTCTAATTTGCATGAATCTTCTGAATTGCATGATTCTTCTGAATTGCATGATTCTTCTGAGCATGATAATACCACCACTTCGAGTGAGGTGGAGCATTCTCATGTGCATTCAAATGACAATGAATCGCATGATGAGAGTGCTGATTCTAGTGATAATGATTTGCATGATTACCAACTTGCTAGAGATAGAAGTAGGAGAGTAATTAGGAGAACTGCTGATAGCATGCCTGATTTTGCTTTCCATGCGTGTGATACTTCTATGTTTGCTTTCTCTGTGTTTGAGACCCTTGAGCTTAACAAACCTAGAACCTATAGAGAGGCCCTTAAGTCTAATTAGTCCGCTAAATGGCTTTGCGCCATGGAAAGTGAGATGGAGTCACTTAGAGCGAATAAGACTTGGACGTTCGTTCCTAGACCGCCCAATAGTTCCGTAGTTGAGTGTAAGTGGCTATTTAAGGTTAAGGAAGAGCCTAACGACATTAGATATAAGGCTAGGTTAGTAGCTAAGGGATTTACTCAAAAGGAAGGTGTTGATCATGCTGAAATCTTTGCTCCTGTTGTTAAATTCACTACGATTAGAATGATGCTTGCTCTTATTGCTCATAATGATTGGGAAATGAAGCAAATGGACATCACCACTGCTTTCTTGCATGGTGATTTAGACAAGAAAATCTATATGACCCAGCCTGAGGGCTTTGTGGATCCCATGAAGAGTAATCATGTGTGTTTGCTTAGGAAGGCCTTGTACGGCCTGAAGCAGTCCCCGAGGCAGTGGAATATCAAATTTGACCAGTGCATGTCATCTTTGAAATTTCACAAGTCCGGGTGTGACCATTGCCTATACTTTAAAAATACTTCTTTTGTGCATGTATTTTTATTGCTTTATGTGGATGATATGTTGATTGTTAGTCCTTCGGGTGACGCCATTAAAGGTGTGCAAAAGCGTCTCAGTGAGAACTTTGCAATGAAAGACCTAGGTGATGCCAAGAGGATCCTACGCATTAACATTGTTAGGGATAGGAGTAAGTGTGTGTTAGTACTCAACCAGATTTCATACATTGAAAAGATTTTGAGTAAATATAACATGCATTCTGCTACTACCGTCTCTATTCCTATGGCGTCCCACTTTGTGTTAAGTAAGGATCAGTCTCCCAAGACTGCTCCTGAAATTGCTAAAATGAAATCTGTGCCTTATTCTAATGCTATTGGGTCCGTGATGTATCTCATGGTGAGTACTAGACCCGACATTGCCTACGTTGTTAGTTGTTTGAGTAGATATATGTCTAACCTTGGTTTGCCTCATTGGAATGCTCTTAAGTGATTGCTTAGGTACTTAAAATCTACTGTTAATCATGGGTTGGTTTTCACTAGGTGTTTTGAGGGTGTTAAGTTGAGTGGGTATGTGGATTCGAATTTTGCTAACGATAGAGACAATAGGAAATCCACTACCTCTTATGTGTTTACCCTTTGCGGGTCTTGCATTAGTTGGAAGTCTCAACTTCAACCCATAGTTGCCCTATCCACTACTGAGTCCGAGTATGTGGCCGCTACCGAAGCGTTTAAGGAAGCCATTTGGCTTAAACGTCTCCTAACGGAGATTGGTAGTCTTAAGCAGGAGATTTGTGTGTTTTCTGATAGTCAATCTGTTATTCAACTGTGTAAAAATCCCGTTTTCATGATAGAACTAAGCATATTGATGTTAGATTTCATTTTATACGTGATATTGTTAGTGCAGGTGATATCAAGTTGATTAAAATTCCATCAGAATTTAATCCTGCCGACATGGGGACTAAATGTCTCTCTGTCGAAAAGTTGCTATCGTGCAAGCGCACGTTAAACATTGATTGCGGTTAAGTTGCCTGGTGATCTTACCCCTTTGCCTGAATATGTCTTTGTGATTATTCGGGCAATCCAGCAATGATGAGTCTCAAATTTGTGTTAGAGCTTTGACTCTAAACCACTATGGTCCAATAAGGTGGAGAATGTGTTGGTATTGGCCCGACATTTCTTTAAGCCTGATTGCATTTGAGGAGGTTCCAGCCCATTTGGTTTTTTACCCGACCCTTGCCTTGTTCGCACAGCCCCTTTCTTCTTCAAACTTGCAGAACTCTTTCCTTCCTTTGACGGGCACTGCGTATCTCCTACTATGGTAAGTTTCCATATCTAATTCCAGTCATTCGCCTATTTAAATCGCTGCTTCCCGTTTGTGTGAGCAGACTGAAACCCTTGCTTCTCTGATTTCCGCCTCTCTGTGGGTGCTCGGATAAATTGGCCGGAAATAGCCTGCTGGCTGACGCCCCTCTTTCCCCTTAGTGACTATAGTGGTGTTCTTCATCCTTTGTGGGTGAATCTTGGACGAGACCTGAGATGGATTCAAGTTTCTACATTTTCCTTTTAAAATATATAATGAATATATATATATATATATATATATATATATATATATATATATATATATATATATATATATTATTTCATTAATTAGCCCTTGCAGCCCACATACTCAAGCCCAAAGTTCTTCCCTTTCCTATTTGTGCCCCTGCAAGCTCCTCGAGCTTGTTCCGCCACTGAATCTGCATATGATGTGATGATGTTGTTGGTGCATGTGGCAAACCTTGTAAAAAATTTGAATTTATGTTTCTTCGATTAATGGAGGTCCTGAGTCCCTAGCTCTCCTAGTCTCCCACTCCTTGAGCGAGTGTAGTGAGTTGAAAGGATTAGAGTAGTAAAGTAGTGCATGTCTCGTGATGTCTTCAATAGGGGCTGAGGGTCGCACTAGTACAAAAAAAAAGCTTTTTACATCACCTTATCCACATGTGTTATTGTATAACCCATGTGAAATATTGACACGGGGTCATTTTTATAATTTTTATAAACTTTTTCACATGTGTTGTTATACCCGATGTTGAATAGTGAAACAGGGGTATATTTTAGAAATTTATTAAATATTTTACATCAGTTGTATGTGCAACCGATGTCAAAGAAAAAACGGGGTCATGTTTTTAATTAACAAAAGTTGTGTTAACATAGTTTAAAACCCATTTAGAAAAGCGGCGAGAATAATCCGCCCTTCCAGACCTGGTATAACTGACCTGATTGAGTTAAAGCCTTATCAAGTTAGGAGATGTCAATCCGCCCTTCATCTCTTTGTTTAGGAGATGTCAAACCTAGCCAAACAAATTCAACAGAGCAGCGACAGGGGACGACCAATGACCAGCGACCAGAGACGGACCCGACAGCATACTCCTGGCCTTAAGTTGGACTAGCGACCAGCCGCAACTGGCGCGTGCGACTATGGCATATAGTTGCCTCTGCTCGACGATTGCAGGTCTTGAGCGAGCATATGACGGCCTTCGAGCGAGCAATAGGACGACGTTGATTGCAGGTACAGAAATTGATGACTTTTATGTAGTATTTATATAGGTTAAACTTCCGAAGGAACCCATCTCAAGTTTGTAGCTATTTCCTAAATTGAAGTAGAGAGAATTCCCCATATAGGAGCGAGAATTCCCCAACTAGTTACATGAGGTAGCTATTTGCTAAAGTTATGTTGTACTCTAGTTTGATTCATTGCTTATATAATTTTTTTCATTTCTGCATTAGTCACATAGTCCTGCTTTTTTATGCAGGCAAAGTGTTTGATAATTAGATATTTAAATATTAGGATGGCTAATGCTTTAAAATTCCGCAGGTTCTTGCTGTTGTTGCGGAAAGACTAAAAAGTTGAAGAATTTGTAAGGCTGCTGGCCTGCTGCGCCTTCGATGAAGCTTTACTTGCTTTTGTGAGGCCCGTGAGCGGCAGGTTTACTTTTAATCTTTTATTTTGTACACTATATAGGCCTATACTTCAATAATTTTATGTTTAATTTCAAGTTTCAGATTTACATTCTTAAGCATGTTAAGATTAGTAAATTGCTATAAAGCTTTGCCGTGTATGTGACATTGCATTTATGAATTAGGGTACTAAACATACAGAGCATATCATATACTCGGTACATATTTATTAGTATAAAAGTATAAATTAAGGCTAAAAAGACATTTAAATGAATAGACTTAGAAAGTGTTGGACTAAAATAGTAGTGAACACTAGGCTTTGAGGTGAGGAAATCCAACTCTCATATAGTGTTAGAAAGTTTTTTTTCTAAAATAACTGTTGTACACAAATATCTTCATAGCTTATTCCACCATCATTTGAAAAGCATTTCAACAAGTTCTCTTTCTCTCTATTGGATCAATCTTTGTTCAACATAAGCTGTTTTCAATACTCATTGTTGAGTATAGGAAGAATCTCTATAATTATCTGGCATTGTGAAGCAATTTTATTGTGTGGACTATGGAGAATTATTTGGGTAAAACATTTTCACTTTATATATAGTGGGTTTAGAATTGTAGAGCTTTCACACTCTCATTACAGTGATTATAGCCTTTAGTATATCCATTTTGTATTTTCATTCATTACCGTGATTAACCTGTATGCTTTGGGATGTTTAGGCAATTTATTTGCACTTTAGGCATTTCTTCTGAATATGTTAGCATTTTGAAGCACTTTTCTTGCATGTTTGTTGTTGTTCTTTTTTGGTATTATTAACATGTGTACTTCTTTAAGTTTCTGGGCAATTCATCAGTAGGTTTTGTAGATGTTTTTTACAGGCTTTTCTTGCTGTTTTTTTCTTTTATATGGCCTTTGTGTAGTAGTTTTGTTGCATTTGTCTTGCTGTTTTTTTGCTATTGTTAGTATTTAGTAATAGTTTTTTACTTCTCTAAGTTTCACTGCAGTTCAGTAGGTTTTCTTGATGTCTTTTTTATAGGACTTTCTTTCTTTTTTTGGCTTTTATGGTCTTTATGTAGCAGTTTTAGGATCGTCGAAATTTCCCTGCAATTAGGAAGCTCTTATTGTTATAGCACACTACTAGAAAAAATTAAACATAACCTTTTTGCATGTATTAGAAAAGAGTCAAAAGACTTTTCCAACGGAGTAATTTTCAGAATTAACGAAACTTTATTTTAGATCGGTTAAAACAGATGCGGAAGAAAAAAAATAGGATCTTCGAGCAGAAGACAGAAGACAGAAAACGAAAAGATTTCTAGCCGATTTTTGACCTAGAGCGAGTTCGCGAAGGAAAGAAGCTAGAGAGACGGAAGACGGAAGAGCAGCTAAGGGCGAACGGACTTCGTGCGGCTAGCGTTCAAGCGGACGGCGGTTGGCATTCCAGCGAACAGCGTTCCAGGGAACGGCAGACGGTGTTCCAGCGAACAACGTTCCAGCGAACGGCGGATGGCGTTCTAGTGGGCGGCGGACGGCATTCGAGCAGCGGAAGGCATTCGAGCGGCTTTCGAGTAGGCGAACCTTCCTTTTCAGGTTTCAATTTGACCATGATTATCTTAGTTCACAATTTGCTGCTTCTGTGAATTCACTGTGTACATAATAGGTTTCAATTTGTTGATATTGCCACTATGAAGTTAGTAGATGATGTTATTCAATTTGACCATGTTTATCATAGCTAACGCCCCTCGTGGTAGACGAATCACTTCCTTCTAGCAGTACTTTATGCGCTCCTTTTTGTTTTGCAACAGCAATGAATTAAGATTTAAGAGTAATACAGAGAGAGTGAAAAACCTCACTGAGTAATGTTGTGACCTTGAACAGTTCATCTTCCCTCATTGCTATTGTTCTCAAGGTACTCAAAAAATCCTCGGGAAAAACAAGCCTATTTGAGTAAGAGGGCAGCTTGCGTTCACCGCTCCAACTATAGTTTTTCATGTGATTACCGGAGTGGTTATCTATTTGAGGCGTACATGGAGGAAAGAATCCTTCTTTCAACAAACTTCTTGGTAACAAACACCTCATATCAGCTTTCTGTAAGTACAAAAAGGGTTGTTTGAACTCTTTTAGATCATGTAAACAACATGTGAGTATAGTTGAACATCAAATGCATTTAATAAATCAGAAAGGGATTGCAGTATTAACCGCTTGAGTCTCAACCAGCAGTTAATATTGGCTCATACTTTTATACCGTTTAAAGACGAGTATTGATTAATGCATGCGGAATTGCAGTATGAGGAGCTTCTGTAGTAATTTGCTTGCCTTTTTTACAATTCTCCTCTCTTAAATGGAAACCTTCTCTTCATTTGTGTTGTATGCAAAAGGGAAGTGTTCTCTGACTTCTCTCTTCGAATTGGATTTTGTTCCTCACAGTAATGCCTTGTTCTGGACCTCTTGTCATGGTATACTTTATAGTTTCAAAATTTTGACACAGATGTACATGCAGGTTTTAAAGGAACTGAAGATATTTTCAGTGATAAATCACTTGAGAAATGAGAACTCATTTAAGTCTAGTTATGTGAAAACAAAAACTCTTTCATCAGCTCTAGCTTATGAGATGCAGAGTTATGTAACAACTAAAGACAAAGTTGAATCTCTATCAGGAAGTGAGCAGTGCTTGAGTTAATTGATAGCCATATGCCTTGTATACTTGAGCATGCTTCTGTCATGGTTAGTTGGAGTATATCCCTTTCCATTTCTTTCCAAAATGGTTTATCATATCTTCTTGTTTTTTTGCTAAAAAGGGGAATTAAAGGTTTACGTATGTGAATTTGAATCTGTAAGCATTTTGACTTCAGATGGATCTAACACAGGAGAGTAGACCCTCACTTCACTATTGCAATTGTTCCTGAAAACGTGGTTGACAATAGAAACCCTTTAACTTGATTTTTAAATACTTTAATGCTTCCCGGGCTATTTCAGAGATTCAAAATGTATCAAGTGTTTCTTTAGCAGATTTGGTAGAGGATTATATACGAGATATACGGTCAAAGTTAATGGACGTGAATAGGGGTGTAAATGAGCCAAGCCGATGACATGAATCTGTAAGCATTTTACATTCAATAAGTTTGCTCCATGTAATGTTTTTTAATAACCTTTTTATTTAATTTGTAGCGATTCGTCAATTCGGAACCATTCTCATCAGAAGAGATTGATGAAGTACGAACTCGTTGTGCATCATGTTTATGCTAAAAATAAACTAACCTAAGAATGAAACGGGAATCGAACAATTATGAATCAATAATGGATCGAACACAAATATAGATGTGCAAATGAAGAATTAAATATATGGAATATCTTGTATATGGGATCTCTCGTATATTTCTTGAGAATTGAGTACAAAGTAATAAGCTAGATAGTTCAAAATGATTACTCTCTTCCTCTCCTGGGTTTGCTTCATACTCTATTTATTAGCTAGAATTTGCTCCCTCCCCAAGTTTCGTATTTGCCTTCCTATTTTGTCTCCACGTTTAACAGATTGCACCTATCCCCTTCTTTCCTTTGACTTAGTGTAGTGCTAAATAACACACGTTTATCCCCTTGGGCTCAATCTTATTTAGACCGCATCCATGGGCTCCTTCTTGTTGCTACTGGGCCCCTCGCTATTGCTGATGAAATACCAGCCTAAATATTAGACAGATTTGGGATCCAACATTTGCCTTCTTTCGAGAAGTTGAGGCGTATGAGCGCACATGTTGACCCGTTAAGCATCAACTTTTCGAAATCTTGAAAACATTTATACCCGTCATCCTTGAAATTACCCATATACAGTCATCATCGATCTCATGAGATATGTTGTAAACCTGCCATTCGTGTAACAAGACGCTTCTGTCAACATCGTCACTTTTCTGACGACATGCTTCCATCAACCTGTCACTTGTCTAATGAGACGACTTCGTTAATCTCCATGCAAGCTGTCTCTGATCTGATCCGTTATTTTGACTAAAGCGACAAAGAACGAAAGTTGATCTCTTATCATCGTCCTCCGAATTTCTGCTAATGATCATAACTAGACAATGTTGACGCATTGAAAATTTGTCCAGGTCGACATCGACATGTCTAGGGTGTTGACATGTCTAGGATGTCGACATGTCCATTGCTAGAGATGGCGAGCCGGGTTACATGAACGTAATCAAAATCCTGCAAAAACTAAATTTTGTTTCGTTTATGATTTTAGTAATATCGTCGACATGAATATTTACAATTTATGCCAATGTCGTTTGTATTGTTGTCTCCTTATGTTTTGGAGCTTATGTTGTCGTGCTCTTGGAGCACGTGCTTCTGTTGTGTACTTCTGTAGTTTTGTGTGTCGGCTGTCATTCGTTTTGGCCAAAACGTGTAAGGTGCGTGGGTTTGTCTTTCATATTTTCGATATGAATGGCCCATGCTAGCCTTACTACTCCTTTTTACGTTGTTGGGGGTTAAGTGTAAGTGCCTTCTGTTGGCACGTTAAGTGATCATAGCGATGTTTGTCAATGTGTTCGCCACGTCAACACCCTGCACCAAGTCATGTTGTCAGAGTCTGGCCGTTGGCTTTTGGCCAACGGCCTTCCGATGCTTAAGTTAGTGAATATTTATATGTAAACAAAAGTAATAAATTAAAATTATGTATACAAAACTAGACAAATACTTATCATCAGGACTTGTCTAAAGTCAGACGATTTCAATCATGTCGTCAGGTTTATCATCGGACGACATGCCCCCATCTCAGACGATTTCAGTCATGTCGTCTGGTTTATCCCGTCACAGGAGTGACAACAATATGTAAAACAAAATACCAAACTAAAAATGAAACAACTTTAAGGGTACTGTATTGCAGCTCTTCAGAACCTGTCTGTCTTTGGACGACATGCCCCTTGTCCGACGATTTCGATCATGTCGTATGATCTATCTCTTCATAGGAGTGACAACTATAAAAGAAAATAATAAACTAAAAATGAAACAACTTTTAAGGGTACCGTATTACAGCTTTTCAGAACCCGTCTAGAATCGGACGACATGCCCCCCGTCTGACGACTGCGATCATGTCGTCTGGTCTATCTCGTGACGACTTGTTCCTCAGGTCTCGAATATGGGTTTCCATGCTTGTAATCATGCCTCCTGGGAGATTCTGATTTCCCATGCCCCTGTTCGTGCTCAATTTGTCTTCGACGGGATCGTAAGTCTTCTTCTAGACGGATGAAAGCTAACGTCTTTGCTTGGACATCTTCGAAGGACCGACAAGGGTATTTTGTCAGTTCGTGGTACAGCTCTGAATCTTCATACAAACCTCTTTTGAATGCCTCGATGACTGTTGGTATGTCACGTCGGGGGACTGACACCTTCTCTTTGTTGAAGCGGTGGAGGTAATCCGTTAAGGATTCATTGCGTTTCTGGACCACACGGTAGAGATCGCTGGTCTGCTTCTCCAGAACCCGACTGCTTGCAAATTGCTGGTTGAAGAGGTTGACTAACTCCGCAAATGAGCTGACGCCTTCATTCGGCAGATTGACGAACCACGTCAGCGCTGGCCCTGTCAATGTTGTCCCAAATGCCCTGCACATACAAGCCTCCCGCTGCTCTGGTCTGATCGAGACGGCAAGCATCTGCTGCTTGTATTGAGCGACATGTTCCAGGGGGTCGGTAGTTCCATCGAATAATCTCATCGAGGGGGCAACAAACTTTCTTGGAATCTCGATGTCCATGATGTGTCGTCCGAAGGGGGAATCTGCGTAGCATGTCTGAGAAGCGACATCCAATGGCGGTGGCACTCCGGGTATACCATTGATCTTCTCTCGCATTTCCCTCAGCTCTACCATGATGTCGGCTAAGGGGTCTGTTGGATATGCTTGCATCTGTCTTGTCGTCGATGTTGGTTGCGTCATTGCGTGGGTTGCCTCCTGCCTGGTTGGCGATGGTATAATGATGACTTTGGATTCTTGTTGTCTTTGGTTGTTGATGTCGACATGTCTTGGAATGTCGACATGTTGAGGGGTGTCGACATGTCGAGGGATGTCGACACGGTCTGGAACTCGTCGTCTCTGAGGTTCCGGAAATAGACTGTGAAACACGTTCCTTCTGGGATTCTGCAACATAACCGTGGGTTGATGATTGCCATTCGGTGACAACCCCAACGTAAGAGATAGCGAGTCCGTTGTATTGGTGAGTGATTCGGTCGAGACTGGAATGGGGTCCAATTCGGTCGAGAAAATGACGTGTTGCGCTCTCAAGTCCAATTACAGCCTTGTTGCTGCTGTCATGGCGTCACCTCTTCGGCTAAACCTTGACTTGGAAACTATGGACACCACCGATTGCACTTGAGAGCGCAACACGTCATTTTCTCGTTGGATAAAAGCAGTTCGTTGAGACATTTCATGCCGGATTTCTTCCTTGTCGGCTTCCAATTGTTCATGAAATTCTACAAGCAATGGATTTGTGCTTCCGACCATGATCGATTCTTCTTTGTGCGAATTTCCCACAGACGGTGCCAAATTGTTTATGCTAAAAATAAACTAACCTAAGAATGAAACGGGAATCGAACAATTATGAATCAATAATGGATCGAACACAAATATAGATGTGCAAATTAAGAATTAAATATATGGAATATCTTGTATATGGGATCTCTCGTATATTTCTTGAGAATTGAGTACAAAGTAATAAGCTAGATAGTTCAAAATGATTACTCTCTTCCTCTCATGGGTTTGCTTCATACTCTATTTATTAGCTAGAATTTGCTCCCTCCCCAAGTTTCGTATTTGCCTTCCTATTTTGTCTCCACGTTTAACAGATTGCACCTATCCCCTTCTTTCCTTTGACTTAGTGCAGTGCAAAATAACACACGTTTATCCCCTTGGTCTCAATCTTATTTAGACCGCATCCATGGGCTCCTTCTTGTTGTTACTGGGCCCCTCGCTATTGCTGAGGAAATACCAACCTAAATATTGGACAGATTTGGGATTCAACACATCATATTTCTTAGAAATGACGCAGTCCATCAACGACACATGATGAACGTGTTTGGTTAAGTTTTTTAGTGATGATGAGATTTGTAACTTTATACGATGTGTTATTACTCTAGACTTGTGCAAGGATTGTTTTATTTTAGCTTATTATTATGTACTAAGTTGTTACTTGAACTTGTTTAACATTTTGTGGAAGAATTGAAAAATAGCTTGTGTTTTTTTAGACGGATCAAGTGAACAGGTGAAAAATTGTGCTATATTAGTTGATGATACTGTTAATGATGTGATTATAGTATAAACAAAGGTCATATTGCAAATGTTTTTCCTGGAAAATACCAAAAAATGAAGCTTTTCACATCAGTTGTAAAGTAACCGATGTGATTGCTTTTCTACATGGGTTATAACCGATGTGAAACACATATGTTTCGGGAAAAAATGAAGCTTTTCACATTGGTTAATAAAATGATTGATGTGAAATGTTTTCTACATGGGTTATAACCAATGTGAAAAACCTATGCTCCGGGAAAAATTGAAGCTTTTCTACATCAGTTGTAAAATAACCGATGTGATTGCTTTTCTACATGGGTTATAGCCGATGTGAAATATCATTTAAAACGTCGTTTTGGACTATCTTCTAGATCGGGCACTGAACGACCGATGTAGAAAGAATTTTCACATCGGTTCATTGACCGATGTGAAAAGTCAATACTTTTCACATGGGCTGGAACCACATCGGCTGTTTGACCGATGTGAAAAACCTTTTTTGACCGATGTGAAAAGCCTTTTTTATACTAGTGTCGACAACTTTTGTCCACAATGGGGAGATGCCTCGTTAAAAACCTCACTAGGAAAAAACCCTGTGGGAAAAAATTCATATTGTGGGAAAAGGAGTACATCGGATGCCCCAAAATGAAACAAAAGGGTGAGCCCTTAGGCATAGGCGTGCAGCTACAACGGCTGACATCTGCTGAGGGGATGGTCGAGACCAGTCTTCGTATGTGAGTAGCTCGACATAATAAGTAGTCCTAGTCATCAAATAAAGACGACTAAGAGATAGGTCGAGCGACCGTCCATAATATGATGTCTCGATCATCAAATAAAGATGACTAAGAAGTATGGTGGAGAGGCCGATATAAAATCCAAGTCATCATTTGATTGCACATATGCATTCAAATAAAATTGTTATAATTTCTTGAACTTATGATTCGATGTTGGATTTGGGCCTAAATTAAGTGGCCTCAAATTTTCAAGCTAGATCTCAAGCTAGGTTTCTATGCTTGTTGGAGCGTGGCACGAATCAAGGACCGAACCTATGATGTGAGTTTTCTCGCACTTAAAATAGATCGTAGAATAGTGGTGTAAGTACGAGAATCGTCTCCACAGGGACGGAAAAAGAGAATTAAGTATTAATTAAATTCAGCAATAAAAAGAAATAAAATAAAATAAATTGTGTGAGATTTGATTGATTGGAAAATTAACTTGTAATTAAACGAATACTAAAGCTAAGAGGTTCTTTCTAATTTATGACGAAGGAAACATGGATTGATTCCGGGGTAATCAGATTTCTGGCTGATCAGGCTTAATCACATGAAATTAATTTAATTGAGCCTCTCTAATCATTACGAAGTTCTAACCGCTCTCGCGGCGTAGAGTACAATAATTTAGGGAACCATGTTGATCTCTCATTCGACAGATATCTATAATTATTGCCAAAACAAACGAGCGTACGGCCCCTTAATCGTTACTAATCTTTTAGTGAACAATTAAGTGTGTGTGAAGGTGTCCTAGAATAAATTAGATCTCTCTTAATTTTTTCTACATGCAATTATAATCCTAGTGGTCATTCTAGCTTACAAGAGATATCAATTAAATCATTCAAACACAAATTAAATCAAGATTCATGCAATTAATCCATCATGAGTTTAGCCATACATCATGATTCACCTCTTCATCAATCCCAAATCCCTAATTAAAACTTACTCACAACTCATAATTGAATAATCAATAGAATTGGGAAGAATAGAATTAATTGTCATTAATTAAAAAGTAGGAACTTACAAATAATCCAAGGGAATTGAAGAACAAGATGGAAAAGTAGAAGAAATTTCGTCCCTAGGCCTCTCTCTAAGCTCCATAACAAAAAACAGGGGTTTACGGGGTGTTTAAATAGAAATCACATCAATCCGGACCAAAATAGGACACCTAGGGGCGAAAAACTGCCAGGCACGGCGTGCCTAACGGCCAGGCACGACCGTGCCTGGGTTCGAGAGAGTCGCAGCCCCTTTCTTCTATAGACACGACCGTGCCTTCCCTTCCAAATTTGACGATGCTTCCTTAATCAAAGTTGTAGGTAATTACGTCATCTATCCACCACAACTTGCAAAACTGGATTTGAATCATCCAAGCAAAAGATATAAATAAAATGGTGGTGTGTCGCACCTTGAAATCTCAACAGCGATCATCTGACTTCTTCGTCTGTTTTCACCTTTCTCCTCTCGCGTTCTAGCAATGGTATCTTCATATGATTTGTAGCCCTTGAAATTGTCTTTCATATGAAACTTGAATCGTATTCTTTGGATGTTTCTACAAAACGATATGCTTGAACGATTGACAGAAGGTCATCCTGAACGCCGTTTTCAAGCTCTATTTATCTTCTTTCGATCCCGTAGCCAATCCTAGAGCTCTTTTATCTTCAAATCTTCATCATGAACCTCCCGGTGACCTCCAAAGCTATCAATTCTATCTCGAATGCATCATCAACTCATCCCGATTGCTACTCAAGTGCCGATGCCAGACTCTAATTTCTTGATTTTTGACTCCAAACAACACAAAACTCGAACCAACGCCCGGAAACATAATTTGAGCTAAAATTGAGACTAATAACACCTAAAAGCTAGGAAAACCATCAAAGGTCGATCTCAACACGCATCAAATGCGTGTTGTAATACGAACTTATCAAACCCCCCCACACTTAAGCCTCTGCTTGTCCTCAAGCAAACTGAACAACAGGACTTACAATAATCACCACACGGAATTAAAACAATTAGCATGCACAGGTAATTAAAGGGATACTCACATAAAAGAAAGACTAAACCAAGAAAATTCTTCCCTAAACTATATCTATATAGTCTAGCTAACATTTTTGACAAAATTATTCGCAACATCCTCAAAGTAGTGACATCATACACTAAAAACTAGCTATCGACCAGAAGGACTTGTGAAGGTGGTGGTGAATGGTAAGGAATATACGGTCCATTTCTTTGAGAGTTTTGGAACAACTTGACAAGGACTTAATGCATTCAGAAATTTCAAGGCTATTCTTAGGATCAAGGAATTCAGTAGACCACAAATTAGGAACTATCATTTAAACTTATACAAAGAGTAGACATGGTGTACAACTAAGCTAAACCGCCGCGGCACATTGATGCTTTGACGTATACTTGAACTACGAGAATGACTAATGCTAATTTTGCAATATCCTCCAAGTTCAATTAATTAAGTTCAGTTTTCCTTGTCATGTTGGAACGAGAACGCCATTTCTTTCGAAAGATCCCTAAGTCTCATCTTGTTGTGCAAAACACTTACGCTTTTTGACCGGGTCTCCCATTCTCTTTTTCGCAAGGTAAGAGGTCTAGCTAATTTAATTTATTTAGTTTTTTTTCAATTTTCAGATTTTCACTAGACATTACCCCATTCTAATCTCGGCTTCACCAAGGAAAATTAGAAATTAAAGTTCATTTAAAATAGTGAATCCATGCCTACAATGCAATCCTCAAAAATATCAAATTTTTAAAAAGTGACTGCTCTTACCCCATTTGTGGCATAGGAACAGTGCCAAAAATGGTTCCTACAAAAATTCCCTAAACTTAGCAAATTAATCCCCTAGTTCCCTAAACATCAAGACTCTGTCAGAAATATTCACGGGTAAGGAAATAGACCATTTGGCTATGGAGCTCAATTAATTGGGTAAAGTATAAAACATATAGGCTCAAAATGGCTTCTCCTAAAGGACTTATTCAGGTGGAATGACAAGTTTTATGAATTAAATGGTTGAGTAATGCCTTCATCCTCTCAACAACTAGGTTATAGTGCAAGAAATTTAAGCCTAAACACTTCACAGATGTTCTAAAAACATACTCAAAACTCTAGCCAGCTCACAAAGACATAGTTCAAAGAAATTTTTAAAAAATTTTAACATGACTTTTCTATGAATATACAACTAACACCTGCGCATGCTAACCGAATTAATCTCATGTAACAACTACTGCCTGAATGCCCAATTCAGTCTCTCACACTTAAACTTTGGCATCGCCCTTGATGGCCTAAAATGCACTATGCACAAGGGGGTAAAGGGGAAAGGGTCACACATGCTGAACTCAACTCAAGTCAATTTATTACAAACAGGCAAGTATAAGAGTCATAGGAACTTCCCTAAGGCGTTGGTCGGTGTAGAACAAACTGGGTCAAATTGTGAATCTCGGCGCATCATCCAAATAGCAAAATCTGATCTGCACAAACAAAACACACAAACACAAAAACACACAAATGCAAAGAAAAAGAAAAAAACTAACACAAAAGTGCAGAAGTAAGCTTGGGTTGCCTCCCAAGAAGCACTATTTTTAACGTCGTGTGCCCGACGCAACAACCCCACAAAAAAGTCAATTAAACACACTTCCACTCAGAAAAATTTTCCTCCACATATCAAACCTCTTGTCAACAAATGCCCTAAGATGGCGCAAAACTTCAAATTCATGAAACCACATATTTAATGGAGAATCACAACTAAAACAAAAGGGTGGTTCCAAGCCTTTATCAGGCCCTTTATCAAAGATTGGGTCAAAAACAGTTTCTTTAAGGGGTGGAGGTTTCCCTCCCTCCTCTCTGTGTGGCTCCATGATGTCCAACAAATAAATCTCATTAATAACTGGACAAGACTGTTTTGCCAGTTTGGTCATGCAAAAACTGACTCTCTCCTCCCCAACTCTCAAAATCAATTTTGCCTCCCCAACATATATGAGGGCCCGTGCAGTCGCCATAAATGGTCTTCCAAGAATTAAGGGCACCTCAAGATCTTGGGGCATCTCCAAGACAACGAAATCAACAGGAATCACAAAC